ATGAGATGATCATGTGGTTTTGGTCTTTGGCTCCATTGATATGGCGTATAACGTTTATAGATTTGCGAATATTGAACCAACCTTGCATTCCTGGAATCTTTTGGAAGATTTAATAATTCTGTTGAGTATACAAGAGATAGTGTCCACTCTGAGTAACAGCACCATTTATTCATAATCCCTAGCAAGCTAGCACAACTGTTTTCAGCTAGCCTATTGTAATGTTGAAAGACAGGCCTGAGGACAGAAACTTAGTCCAATTTTTGCTAAAATAATCATCTTACCTCCCGTTAGGCTTTCAATCCATTTTCATACAATGTTAATAGGGAAAAAAGTCTCATGGAATTTGTTTTGCTGAGAACCATTTTTTTTTTCTTTTTCAGAAACCCTCTGACGGCATAAAGGGTAGCCTACAGGGTCTATGAAAAGCTTTGCCTGAGGGGAACCCAAAGAGGAAAGTTGTAGCTGTGTAATTTTGTGCCAGGCAGCACAAAGATAAATTCCTATTTTTCCAATCTAAGGATGTATTATAGCCTGGAAAGATATAATTTAAACTTTTGAAAGCAGCAGTGATAAAATCCTCCTCCTCTCTGTTCTATTTTGTTTGCTCCTTTCCTCTGCGCTTTCATCCTGTTACCATGAGCCACTCCCTTTCTTTTGATGTCACCTCTTTCCCTTCCTTCCGTCAGCTCATCCATCCTTACATACAACCGGCCTACCCCTTCACTGGATATACACATTGTGTTGCATATGTAAGTGTAAAACTTCAACACGAATACGACTGCAAAGAAAAATTATTAGCTAATCCTTTAAAGATAAATGCAAAATACTGAGTTAATGTATACTCCAGTCTTATAAAAGAACAACAAATCATGAATGATGAGGATTTTACTCTGTAATGAGCAGTCCACGTCATTAACAAAATGCTAACAATCAACAGGTGAAAGAAAAACAGTACCTTAAACGGGAACCAGGGAATATTTTGCCCGTATCTTGATAAAAATTTTAAGCAATTTAAAAATATAGGAACATTCACTCATTTGTTATGAAGTATGGTTCCCCAAACTAATAGAGATGTAATATTAGATGGCAAAACATCGAAATCCCCCCACTGAAAGAGAAGTAACTCAGAAGCTCAGGGTCACTTTGCATCACTGCGTTATATTAGCAGTGAAAAAAGGCAGAGAGAAAACCAGTACGGAGTTGGAGAGACAAGATAAAATGCCGCTATAAGATCATACGATTTAGAAGTCCGAAAGATATGACAAATAACATACGAACCAAGAAATTTGGTTAAGCTTGATGCATGAAGTCGATTCTTTTCTTCTAAGCCATAAATAATACATAAAAATGTGACATATAAATGACTTTATTTCACATGCTCAACAAAACCTAAAAAGTAGCCAGGAATAAGGAGGACAAGAAAAATTTTTTGCATACATATAATTTGCATATGTATGTAATATTTACAAAGGAAGACACAGATAGATACACACACATGTCCCAATAACAAAGGATAAATAAACAGAATAAAAGGGAAGATTTATTCAACTGGGGACAGGAAAGTATGCCTTTCTACCCTATGTAGCTCTCCCCTGATTTTAATAATCAACACATCTTATTAAATTCAGTTTTTATAGTAAGTTATGGTCTGCCAAGTTCATAATTCTGAATGCCATACAAGGCTGATCGTCTGCAAAAACAGCCTCAGAAATGTTGAAAAATGTGCGAAGGGAAATCAAAAGCCAAGTGTATAAGTGTACTACAATGAGAATATGAAAATCATAGCAGTTCTTAAAGAGAAAAAATACTTATTAGGGTTTTTAAACTACCATGGCCTAAAAAAAAGAGTGCATCAAAAATTACTAAAAATATTTGAGAAAACCAGGGGAAGAGACAAAATAAAATTGAATACGTCATCAAGATGAAGCAAAAATAATAGAATTGATGGCAAATTTAGTGGCAGGTACAGGCAAAATCCTCCAAAATAAAGTTCAAATTGAAAAGGTGATTGTTGCCGGTGGTAGTGACGGTAAGAATAACTGTGTGGTTACTGAAGCAGTTCCCATGTTCTGATCTAATAACTGAACTATAGGGTGCCTCACACCCTCTATTTATTTTGTATCTATTGAGTGTTTCAGGTTTGCTCCTGGCCAGGAAAGCCACGGCGAAGCTCGCCAGGGCCAGGGAGCCCAGGTATCCCAGGACACAGTAGAAGGCGGTGA